TTTTGTTTTTTGTTTGAAATGACTTTATCCTTAAAAAAAAAATAAAAAAAATATATATATATATAAATGATATTTGTAAAATTAAAGTGAGAAAAATAAACAAAAATATGAGAACAAATCAAGGCAACGTGGATTCTCTGGTAAATTAACATATGGTTTACATACACTGGACTTACATTTGTGGTTATATGAAGACCAACTTGCAAATTGGACTAAAATAGCAGAGATAGAAAAATATCAAAAATCTACTGGAAATATTAACAACATTGGAAGGTAGCAGATTGGGACAGGTAAGGGTGCACTAAAGGGGGTTTTGCACTAGTGATGAGCATAAAAGGCTGGCCTATCTGGAAAAGTGGTGTGTCTGTCTATTGAAGGGGTGTGTCAGCCGAGCATTGAGAACGCCAGGTTGAGTGACAGCCTGCATGGGTAGCTCCCACAGTGAGACAGGACTTCGAAAATCAGGACTGCATCAACTTAAAGAGGCACTGTAGCGTCAGAAACACAATGTATATTCCTGACACTAAAGTTCTAAAACCATCATTTAGGTGGTTGGTCCCCCTTACCTCAGGTGAGAAAGGTGGTTGACGCACCTTTTTTTCAGCGCTGCGCAGGGTTCCTCGCGTTTGAGCCAAACGCCACCCTGGCCAATCAGCATCTCCTCGTTAAATCAATTGATTTATATGGGGAGTGTTCCATGCTCTGCATGGAGAGGCTGAAAGTCAGTGCTGTACACTGCAGCACTGCCCCGGGAAGCACCTCTAGTAGCAGTCTGAGGAGTGGCTACTAGAGGTGTCCCTAGGCTGTTAAACACTTACCTATATAAATAAAATTAAGTAAAATATGAATGCTAAAAGATATTTGTAAAGACACAAAATGAGCAATAATAAAGTAAAAGCAGCACCTTACTTAATGTAATAACTCCATTAACACTATATCAAACAATACATACAAAAAGGTTTGCTGTGTCTTTAAAATAATAGTGCATAACTTTTTTATTATTAGTGCATAATAAACTAAAGTGCATAACTTTACCAAAGTGCGACTGCAATCTAAGTGCAAAATATACAGTAAGTGATATAAAATTGCAAACACGTGTAATACCAGTGTCAAACGTATCACACTTCACTTACATTATGTAAGTGAAGTGTGATACGTTTGACACTTGTTTAAGGAAAAAGTTGTGCACTTTAATTGTACTTTGACAATTTCATTGTTGTCATATATCACTTTTAAAATATTTTTAGTATACACACGAATTGTAAATTGTCTTAAAGACACAGCGCACCTTTTTTGTATGTATTCTTATTTAAACACTGAATTTTCTCTAGAAAGGCAGTGTTTACATTAAAAAGCCTGCATGGACTGACTATATCACCAGAACAACTACAATAAGCTGTAAGCAATAAGCTGAGGGCAAATCAATTCAGGGAAACAATCTACATGGAGAGTGTGTGGACAGTTAACAGTGTGTGTGTGTGTGTCTGTCTTTGTGCTTTTGTCAGGGTAGTGTGATCTGTAGGGAGTGAGAGAAGCAGTTGTATATATACCTTCACTTCACACCTGATTACTGTATGATCAAGAAGAGCTCCAAGTGTAACTGGCATTTAATGCTCGTAAACAAGAGAGGCATGGGGTAAATTGAAGAAACACTATGGGCACCATAACAACTACATCTAAATTAAGTTAGCTTGCTCACTTTTAGGGATTAAACCATTTAACCCCAAAGTCTTGTTGCAGCTCTGAATCTCCCTGCCCTTCTGTTTTCTAAAAATGTTTAAACCGTAAGGCTCTTGCAGAATTGGGCAGCAGAACCGCTGATTGGCTAAGAGTGGTCCCCATTCATGAGAAACTGGCATGAAATGAAACATTTTTTCAAGCTAGTTTTATGAATAAAGATTCACTGATCACTCTCAGCCATTCAGTGGCGCCGCTGCCAAATTCTTCCAACAGAAGAAAACGGAAAAACAAAAAGTCATATCTCCAATGCCCGTAGATCATTCAATTATACTTTGCAAAATTAGATATTTCATAAAATGTCAGCTTTGAAAAAGTAAAGGCTGTATTTAATCTAATTTTCTATAACTGTGTAATAGGGCAAAACTGTGAAAATTTTGTGATACTAAATAATGAGGTATATATAAAATATAGCATCAATTAAAAGCTCTTCGGCAAGACCTGTAATTATTTTGCAACTTACTTGTATATTTTATATTGTGGGACAAGATAGGCAAAGCGAAAAAAAACATATCCAACTTGGAAAAGATTTCTAGTCTGGCTATTTCCCAACAATTCAAACTATAGTGAATAACGGTGCTTTAATTTCAGAAAGTATACTTGTCACTTGGCTTGAGAATGCTAGTGCCCCGAGTAGAACTAACAGTATAAAAGACGCTTGTGTACTCTTTCCTTAATGTGCTTTTTCTTCTACTATATTTAGAAGTATCTCCAAAAAAGGGCACAGACCATGCTTGATTATTCACAAGCCTTTACATTGAACAATGGAAGTTCCCACACAAAGGGAAGATTAATTAAATGTTCTTGTTAGGAACAGATTTCATAAAATATCACATATTTTTGGCCATTTTGGCATCCAAATGCCTTATGAAAAATATTGCAGGTGGGAGTGCAAACGGAGAGCTTTTTGTATTTTTGTTAATGAATGTATTCAATGTAAAGTGTGTGGTTACTTTAAAGTGGAACTTGAGTTTACTTATCCAATATTTTTAACAAATATGTATTTGTATGGTGTGCAGAAATCCACGTTTTATATCCTGCAACTAGGTGCCTCCATATTGGCTCCCTGTCAATCATTGTTATAAGCTTAGAGAAAGCATACAGAGAAAAAGAGAAATGAAATCGTTTCTATTTCCTCTCTTCACATGCAATCTGTGCATTGTCTGAAATAGATTTTGATGTAATTTGTAATAAATTTAAAAGAAAAATTTAATTTTTTTTTTTTTTATAAATTTAAAAGAAAAAAAGTTTCTCACGAAAAAGGATTAACACAAGTTATTGGTGACAATAAATATATTCAAGTATATAAATATATATATAAAATTATTTATAAAGTGCCAACAGATCCCGTTGCTCTGTACAATGGGTGGACAAACCAGACAAGATGGACGCACAGACACAGTGGGGTTGAAGGCCCTGCTCACTGAGCTTACATGCTAGAGTTATATTTTAAAAAGGGGAATCTGGTCTTGTCTCTTTATAATACAAGTGGATTATTGTAATATCCTAGTTTGAGGTTTGTTTACATTTTGTAAGGCCTTTATGCTTACTGTCCATCATGGGAATATAGTTTACAAACATCATTGGTACCAAGATTAGCTATCGTTGATTTTGAACCATGAGAAGTATTTTGCCATGTTAGAAAAGGATGTAAATGAGACTGATAATCACTGATAATTGTTGCCTTGTAATTTATCGGACTCTGAAATGCTTGAGGCACAGCAAACAAGAATTTAAATATATTCAAGATGGCCACCTTTTGTAATGGGACTACATCACAACCCCAAGAAAACATCTATATAAAACATGTTTACAGCACAAACCCAGTCAGTTTATTTAATTTAGCTAGCATAAATACGGACATATAATCTAAACAATGACTTTATGTTATGGAGTGAACATGGACACAATGACTTCATATTTATCCAGTTAAGTAAATATTTGCATTCATTATTGAAGTGCAACATAATGAGAAAGCTCCCAACCTCACATGCAAGTCTATGCACATATTCACTTTTTTTAAATTGTCGTGAGCCACCATGACAGAAAGTCACACTGAGAACAGCTGAGAAGAAACCATAGATATAGACATTTAATCTCTAGGTTTACATTACTGTTGTTGTTGATTATATATGAAGTGTAAGACAAGATAGCAACACGCACACACACACATTGTGTATATATTTAATAGATAGATAGATAGACGTATACACCATAATCACTACATGTCTTTATAATGGTTATTGTACCCAGAGGAAAAGGAACAGTCTGTTTTAATGTAAATTAACAAAAAATTAAGGTATTACCCAACACCCACCTGTTATAATAAGGATTTTTAATTCCACGTTACATGTACAAATATTTGGATGGCGCAAGGAGATAATGCATGCGCAAACTGTGCAATGACAGGCTGTAAGAGATGGACTAACAGCATTTTCCTACACAGAAAAGTTAAAGCCCTTTATGGTCCAGCAAAGGAAACAATGTAGTGTAGTTACAGTGAATGAGAGTAAGATAATTGCCAGAAGGCCTTCCACCTTTCCATCATTTCTCATTATACATGTTATGCCATTGGCACACTCCTACATGTCTGTACATAAACACTGACTGACAGGTGAAGTCCTTCATCTAAGTTTTCTTAGGATACACATAGCTTCTACATACATTCATGTCTGTGTGTGCCACAGGGCCGTCTATAATATGAATAAGACCCCGGGCAAAGCCTTTTCTTGGGCCCCCTGGGCCCTGTCACTGCACCCTCCCTCCCCATTACGCCCAACCCGCAATCACACTGACAGACATACTGACACATACACACACAGACAGACACATTAAAACATTCGCAGATACATACTGACACACACATACACTGACACAAAAATATATACTGGCAAACATTGACACACATTCAGACATACTGATACACACACAGACACATACATACTCACAGACACATACACTGACAGATATATTGACACAGACACACAGACACATACACTGACAGGTGTATTGACATACACAGACATACTGACATACACACACACACTGGAACACAGTGAGACATACTGACATACACACACAGACATACTGACATACAAACACACAGTATGTCTGTGTGTGTTAGTATGTCTGTGTGGTGTGTATGTCAGTATGTCTGTGTGTGTGTATGTCAGTATGTCTGTGTGTGTCAGTATGTTTGTGTGTGTATATGTCTGTGTGTAGGTCAGTGTGTGTGTATGTCTGTGTGTGTGTGTGTATGTCTGTGTGTGTGTGTGTGTGTATGTCTGTGTGTGTGTATGTGTCAGTATGTCTGTGTGTATGTCAGTATGTCTGTCATAGACACAAACAGACACACTAACACACACACACACAGACACACTAACACACACACACAGACACACTAACACACACACAGACACACTAACACACACAGACAGACATACTAACACACACACACACACACACACACACACACATACTAACTCACACACATACTAACACACACAGGCATACTAACACACACAGGCATACTAACACACACAGGCATACTAACACACACACACAGACATACTAACAAACACACACACACAGACATACTAACACACAAACACAGACATACTAACACACACACATACTGACATACATTTAGCCACCCTCCAGGTTCTTACCTTTTTATGGAGGGTGGTTTCCCTGGGGTCCAGTGGCAGGCTGAGGCAGGTGGGAGTTCTTCTCCCTGCCTTCCTCCTCCCGCGCGGCTATCTCCGGTGGGAGGAAGTGACACGCGGTACTCACTTCCTCCCAGCCGGTACAGGAAGGGGCCCGGTCGCGCTGTTTAAGCGTCACAGCGCCCGACCGGGCCCCTTCTGCCACATGCCCACAGGGTGGCCCTTAGTGCATGGGCCACCCGGGGGCCTCCTTAGTGTGCGGGCCGGTGCGGCTGCACCGCCGGGCGACGGGTACATGGGGGCTGATGAAATCGCGGGGCCCACGGGGCAGCTGCTCTGGGGCCCCCCAGGAGCAACTGGGCCCGGGGCAGCTGCCCCGTTTGCCCCGCGCTAAAGACGGCCTTGGTGTGCCATTTCATATATATGAAATATATCTGCTGCTAAGCTCTCTCGGTGTTACTTTAAAGATGACTTCTTGCTTATCTCTCCAGTGGGCACTATAACCCCACACGTGGTGCTCTCAGCCAATGATGGCCCATGAGAGTCCAATAGCATCCCTCCAGTCATGGACAGCTGGCTCCACTGCCCGAATGGCAACTCAATGTAAATTCCTTAAATTCCTTTTTAAAGGACACCAGGCATATGCAAAACCTGCAGAAACAGGACAGATTTCAAACCAGCCTCATTTTTGACATGCCTAGATGCTCTCACGTAAGCTTCTCCGAACAGCTACCAATGAGGCCAGAGGGGCACTGCAGAACTGAAAACTATTATAGAATTAAAAAGACAGTATTTTTCTCCATATTTTTTGGGCTTACCACCCTCCCCTCCAGAGAAAGAATCTAAACTACTGAAAATACATTCCACCACCCCTCCCATAAAAACTGGTGGCGCGCTGTCCAAAGTGCCCATATGGACAAGCCTGCGCTGGCAATTGCCCCTTTATTATTTTGCCTCTGGTAATACAACACATTCTCCCCTTCTTCTAGCTAGTACCTGTTTCTCTGTTTCCCTTTCTGAGCAATGGGAAACAGTGACATTTTCCCAAGCTAAAGTCAAAAACATCTGTCTTGAGAAGATGTCTATGGTAATTAAGTGTTCTTGCATAGCAAGACCACTTAATGTTATCTCACATATATATTATTATTATTCTTATTATAGCCAAATTTACCACCCTACCTCCTCCCACAGTTTTTACAGTACATAAAACAGTAATATACCAAAACGTGCAGATTGTTCCCGATTGATGTGCTATTATTTTGTGGAACGTTTCGCCGAATGGTTCACGGAATATCATCGTTCTTGTTGCGAAATTTGTCCCATAGGAATGAATGGCAAAATGTTCAAAACTAGAGTGGGAGCTGGCAAAAGCTGAAAAATCAAGACGTGATTTCTAAACTGCCACCACTCCCTCATTTTCAAGCCCACCTACACAAATCTTATATCAAAACGTTCAGCTATCCCTGCTGCCACTAAAAATGTCCACGGCTAAGCCATAGTCCTGATAGTCTTCACAATATGACCATTTGTTTGCAACTCACGACGTCCATTGACATTCATTGAAACTCCACTCTAGCCAGCTCAAATTTGAAGGGCAATTTCTTAACTGTGACTATGCCTTCATTGTTAATATATCAGAGACATACTATGCATCAAAATGTAGGTCTGGGTCTTGTGATTCTCACAATATAAAGCTCTTCGCAGTAGGATGTATAGTTTTTAAAATACGACTGTTTGAAAAATGCAACCGCCAAAATACTGTGACCTGTGCCAGGCTGGAGCAGCAAGTGATGTCATAGACAGGGCCTTTTGTACACCTGCTAATGTTTTTATAAATGTATGTTTTAATGTAACTGTGAAGGACTTTGAGCAACAACGTTGCAATTAAATGTGCTATATAAATAAATAATAACAGTTACTCCGCCCACTCCAGTTTTAGACTACTGGTGGAGTCAAGAACACTGCGTTTCTAGTTGCATCTATGTTCTGCTAAAGCAAGCTTAGCATGCAAGAAATTCCCTGATTGACCTATGTTGAATAACTCTCAAGTGAGACTAAGTGCCATGCTGGGATTGCCACTGAGCCCCAGGTATATTATTATTTATAAAGTGCCAACAAATTCCGATATAGCAAGATAACGAATGAGCTTAGTGAGTATTTTAGTTTTATCAAGAGAACAGCATACTAATAATATCAAGTCAGGACGGAAACATTTTCCTTTTCACAGTTTTTATATTCTTCCTGGGAACTTAAAGGGAACTCCAGACACCCAGACCACTTCTGCCCATTGGAGTGGTCTGGGTGCCAACTCCCACTACCCTTAACCCTGCAACTGTAATTATTGCAGTTTTCATACACTGCAATAATTACATTGCAGGGTTAACTCTTCCTCTAGTGGCTGTCTATTACACAGCCACTAGAGGGCACTTACGGGATCCTAGCACAGGTTTTCTGTGCTAGAGCGTCGCTGGACGTCCTCACGCTATGTGAGGACCTACAGCCTCACTAAAAATCCCCATAGGAAAGCATTTTCAATGCTTTCCTTTGAAGAGGTCTAATGCGCGTGCACGGCATTGCAGAATGTTTTCCTGGCACTGGAGAGTCCCTATAATAGGGGGGTTTTTCCTTGCCAGGGATCTATCTTCTTCTTCTAAGGAGGATATTGTCCCAGTTTTACGTAAACAGAATAGAGAATGGCGGCTGTTCTCGTCTGAGGAAACATTTTCTGCTCCTCCTTCCCCTCATACTTGTTTGAGTAAGCAAAAAATTAAAGGGACAGGATCCCAAAAGAGGAATAGTGTTTTCCATCGTTCCAGTGAAAAAGGACAAATCTCGTTGGAGGTTAAATAGTCCTTCCCCTTCCTCTTCTAGAGCGTTTGCGCATTCTTCCTCCCAAAGCCGTTCCAATTCTAGACATGGCTCTCCAGAAAAAGACTGGGCATCTGAGGAAGTGGTACATTCATCAGCTTCCACTGAGCAAGGGAAACTTAGCAACGATAAGAGGAATTTGGTCAGACCAAGAGAGACTCCTTCGTATAAACATCTTTGAGTTAAGAGCAATAAAATGAGCTCTCCTGGGCCTAGTTCCTCTAAACCAGTTACCGAAGTTGGTAAAAGTCCAATCGGACAACAGGACAGCAGTGGCTTATAAAAACCACAGAGGGGGCACAAGATCAAGGGGTCTTTGTTTGGAGGCTCTAGATCTTTGGCTTTAGCAAACAAAGTTTGGATTTACGCAGTATAAGTTCCGGGAGAGGCGAACGACCTCACAGATTCTCTCTCTCGCCAGAGTTGGCCTCTGGCAACGATTCAATTAAAGATTGCGCTATTCCAATGGATAGAAAGCAATTTTGGCCATAGCCAAAAAGATCGTTTTGCATCCCATACGTTTGCACAAACTCCCTGGTTTGTCTCCAGGATTTGGACAAAGGGAGCTTGGAAAATGGATGCACTGTCTTTCCAATGGACAGATGTTCCAGCCATTTATGCCTTTACGCCATCCATCTTAAAGTGCTGGAGAAGATCCGCAGGGACAGGGTACGGAGTTCTTGTTTACCCAGTATGGACCTCCAGACCCTTGTACCCCTTGATCCATCAGTTAGTCAAGGGAACCAAGATCCCATTGGGCATGACTGTGGTCTGCTTTCAGGGAACCAACGATCTTTTGCTCAAGCTTCCGCAGCTGATGTGGATCGCATTCCTGGTAGGCTGTTAACGCATCCCTTTTTATCGGATCAGGTCCTGGACATCATTAATTCATCTTTAAGATGCATAACTTGGGTAAGATATAGAAAGATGATTGAGGAATTCAAAGAATGGGAGGTTTCTTTTCTGTCTACTACTCAGGGATCGGATACCATTTCACTAGCTTTAGAATTTCTTACCCTTAAATTGAATTCCGGTTTAGCGGTCAGTACCATCAAGACCTATGGATCTGCTTTAAATTTCCTTATAACTAACCTTACTCAGGTTGCCCTGTATTTGAGATTACTAAAATATTACTTATCAGTCTGCCGCCCACATACACCATGTTACACATCTACTTGGGATGTAGACCTCTTATTAAATTTCCTTAATTCCTTGCATAATGCTAAAATTGATTTAAGATGGACTGCTATTAAGTTGGTTTCTCTGCCGTCTTTGGCCTTGGCAGCTAAAGGAGCGGAGTTAACTCAAATCCATATTTCAGAACCATGGTTGTCCCCGACCCCGGGAGGGTTCCATATTATACTAAAAGGGAGACATAAAACATTCCATATTTCCCCAGGTCCGGTGGAACTGGATTTGGAATTGGATTTCAGAAGATTCTTCTGAACCAGGCTTATGTTTAGTCAGTTTGTTACAATCATACCTTGACCTTTCTGCTGCATTTGGAAATGATAATCAGTCAACTATTTATTACATCAAGGAATCCGTTTCGTCCAGCCAAGGTTAATCCAATTAGAGGTTGGATACTTTCCGCCATGTCTTCGGCTTGTATTGATGTTTCGGTGTTCAAAGGCCACTCAATTAGGGACGCCTTGACTACTAAAGCTGCAGCAAAGGGCCTTCCCCTCCCTATTATCGTGAAAGCTGCAAGGTGGTTGTCCTGGAGGACAAAATCAGCGCTTGTGGGAATCTACGCTCTGCAAACTTTCTTTGTCTTAGGGATAAGCATAACCACCTACCAATAGCGCCCATCCCACCCTCCCCTAAGGTAAGGGTTTTGCCTGCTAGTGGTAGTTTGTTT